TCAAAATATTCTCAGCTTTGCCCAGAATAAGTGATCTAGAAACTGAAGAAGAGAGGGAGAAAGGGCGGAAGAAGATGAAGGCCATAGTTTAACACTCCCCCAAGCTCACCATGCTGACTCCAAGCCATGGGATCACTTCTCACTTCTAATGGGTTGGAGTGGAGTTACTTAGAGGCCCCTGCTGTCAAGCCCCCCAATTTCTGAGTTTAGAACCCCTGGTAAGAAGCCTCCCTGAAACAGCCCACAGTGCTCTCTCCTGAAGCTGTTTGCAGTAAGTGACTCACCCAATTAAGAGCATCTACATAACAAAGCCTCACCGGGCTGCAGAGGTCACAGAGACTGTGAAGTGTGTCTTTAGTGTGTGCAGCAGAGAAGGTTCACTAATTACCAGTCATTTCCACCCCTCAAGAGCCTGTCAGCCTTTGAGATGCAGAGGATAAAAGAATCCCCAAATTCCCACCCCACACCAATCATTTCTCCCACCCCAACCCTCCCCTGCATTTCAAACCTGTGACTAATAAGTGCCAGGAATGGGCCTCTGCCCACCTGGCTCAGAGGAGGGAGAGAAAAGTAGTTGCTTTGATTGGGAGCATGTTTCAGTAAAAGGGAACTGGGAGGAGCATGAAAACAAGGAGAGTTCTGGAGGCACTGCATCATTGTCTCCATTAAACAAGCAAGCAAACAAAAGTTGTATTGTCTTTTCCCTGTTTATAAAGGCAACAAATGTTTGCAGTAGAAACTACAGGTGAACAAGAAGAAAGTTACCATCACCCGCGATCCCATTCCCTAAGATAGTGGTCGATTACACAGACATTCTGGCAGCCTGCATTCTAGGTGATGTGCATTAACTGTGGGTGTGTGCATGTCCTTACTCTTTCATAACCAGATTTTTTCATTAATGATGTATCTCCAACATCTCTCCCCATGGACACATGGAAAGAATGCTAGAGCTGGCAGGGATGCTGAAAGGGGCTAGAAGAGAAGGTGAGTTTGGGAATTCGAGCGTACGAGGGAGGCATTGCCAGAATTTCTGAAAGCTGAAGGAGGCTATTGTGAGGAGGAAAGAGCACTAACCTTTGGAATGTGGGCAAGTGACTTCCTCTCGATTAGCCTCAGTTTCCTCATCTGCAATATGGGAATAACACTACATGCCTTATGGGATTGTTGTCAGGATTAAAAGAAATCATGGATTTCTTTGGCATTGGATGTTTTATTACTCATTTTAATAAGTGTTCATTCATGCCTACTTTAACTTAGCCCTCTGCTAGTCTGAGTTAGGCATATAAAGAAGGCATCTGGTTAGGCCTAAAGGATCTTAAAATCTACTTGAGAACTTGAACACACACACACACACACACACACACAAAGTTCAACAATATAAATTTAAATAGCTAATGAAAGATATCATCAATTAGTAGATAATCAAGTGTCAGATGAATGGCACCAAGAGCACTGCAAGGATTCAGAGGTAAGAAAGAACACAGGGGGATAATCATCATCATCTCTTTGAGCACTTTCTATATGCCAGGCACATACATTGTCTCATTTAATTTACCCACTGACCTAAGAGGTAGGTACCATTATTGCATCCACTTTACACAGGAAGAAACTCAAACCTTGCCCCAAGCCGCACATCTAGGAAATGCGGCAGTACTGTTCTTTGGAACCAAGCACTTGGATCCCAGAGCCTACCACGTGCTAAAGTGCTATGATCTGCTCAAATGAAGGTAAGCCCTGGGCTCATCTGAGCCCTGAGCTGAATGGTAGAAGAGGGAGAATGTGGTCCCTCCAGCTTTTGTAGTTGGAAGCAGGCCCAGCGTTACAACAAACAGGAGGGGGATTCAGATGACAGACAGGCAAAAAAAGGTAAACAAGCAAACAAACAAACAAACATATCCACTATGCAATAGTTTATAGTGACACTGAGGGTTAAACATATGACCAGATTTAACTCCAAGTGACTCTTGGCTATTCTAAAATACAATTCTTCCGGGCACCTGGGTGGCTCAGTCAGTTAAGCATCCAACTTCAGCTCAGGTCATGATCTCACAGTTTGTGGGTTTGAGCCCCACATTGGATTCTGTGCCAACGGCTCAGAGCCTGGAGCCTGCTTCAGATTCTGTGTCTCCCCCTCTCTCTGCCCCTTCCCTGCTCATGATGCTCACTCTCTCTCTCTCTCTCTCTCAAAAATAAATAAAATAAACATAAAAAATGTTTAAAAAAGAGAAGGAGGGGAAGGGGAAGTGTAAAAATATCTGCATCGTCTCCTTTGATCAGGAAAACAAAAGTGTTTCCCAAGGTTTTCCCTCCTGGTTTGCCACCTCCATACTTCTACTCGTGTCTCATTTGCAAAACTGGGTCGTATGGCCTTCCCCAGCTACAAGAATTGGAAGAGATGAAACTAGGATTGTCATGACTGGTCTACACCAATCACAAAACACTGCTTGGGCCCGGAACACTGTTACAACGGTAAGCTTAGGAAAAAAAGGAGGAAGGTGGATATTGAACTGCATATCTAAATTCCAGTATCAGATTTGGGCATTGCAGGATTGGAAGTTGGATGCACAGCATAGGGGACAAGGGATTCCATGGAAAGGTAACACAAGGAGTGGGAAAACACAGGGCATGTGGCAAGAACAAAGAAATTAGATTTGACTGGGGTATAGGCAGCTGCACTTTTGTAATTTATCCCATGGAAATAAAATCACTGACTGCAAGGATATAGACTCAAGAAATTTTGTTAGTGGAAAATAAAACTGATAACCTTTATGACCATCAACAGGGGAATGGTTGAATAAGCGGATATCTTCATTCTACAGAATGCTATGGAGCTAAAAATAAATAAATTACCTTTATATCCATAGACCCATTTGTTAGCAAGAAAGAACGAGCAACAGATAACTCTCATATATTCACTGTTTGTATAAACAAGCAATAACATAATAACCTCACACCTGTAGCTCAGCTGGTTGAGTGTCTAACTTTGGCTCAGGTCTTGATCTCACAGTTCATGAATTCGAGCCCCACATTGGGCTCTGTGCTGACAGCTCAGAGCCTGGAGCCTGCTTTGGATTCTGCCCCTCCCCTGCTCACACTCTGTCTCTCAAGATTGAATAAACGTTAGGGGCACCTGGGTGGCGCAGTCGGTTAAGCGTCCGACTTCAGCCAGGTCACGATCTCGCGGTCCGTGAGTTCGAGCCCCACGTCAGGCTCTGGGCTGATGGCTCAGAGCCTGGAGCCTGTTTCCGATTCTGTGTCTCCCTCTCTCTCTGCCCCTCCCCCATTCATGCTCTGTCTCTCTCTGTCCCAAAAATAAATAAATGTTGAAAAAAAAATTAAAAAAAAAAAGATTGAATAAACGTTAAAAAATATTTTTTAAACCCATAATAGTCCCATATATATGAGCATAGTTTATATGAGCATGGTGGGTGTGGAGAAAGGGACAGAAGTTACATTTCAGCTGTTAACACTGGATATCTCAGGAGACTGGGTGGGAAATAGAGAGGAGATGGAGAGATCATAAAGTTTGTCTTTAAATATCTCTGAGTGCTTTGCTGGTTGGTGAACATGTTTTTTTTATAATTTTGGGACGTAACTTAAAGCCTTTTGAAAGGAGTTTAGAACTACATTATCAAGAGTCAAGTGTTTCATGTAGACAATGGGGAGCCATTGAAGATTTGGGGGCAAGGGAATGATGCGATCAAGAAAATTAACCTAGCAAGAGTACATATAATGGATTAGAGGCAAGAGAGGCTGAGATGAACAGTTAGAAGGTTCTGGTAGCAGTAGTTCAGTCAGGACCTAATAAAGTACTGAACTGTGATAGCAGTAATATGTGAAGTGAGAAAGAGAAAGGGGAGCCCTGACTACAGCCTTGAGACACATGTCTGAATGATGGGAGGAGTGGTCATGGGTGGGTGGACGGTGTTTTCCATTTACATGTATCAACTAACACATCTTGCACTCTGAAAATCTGAATAAATGGCTAGAAAAACATAGGTATTTCTCTTTTCCAATCTCCTCAAGCATTGACTTATCTGATATTTACCACATATAGGTTCAAAATAATAATTTTTTCATGCGTTTTTATCCTCCTTATAGTGATTGTTCATCCATTCAGCACAGTTGATGGTACATACAAATGCTCTTTTCTTCATTCACTCCTTGAAGGAATAGCCCCATCCCTGCCCCCTTGGAGTTACCATCCAGTGAAGGAGACAGCCTCTCAACAGGAAATCCCCAGTGTGGTAAGTGCTCTGAGAGAGGGTTACAGGAGCCCTAACTCAGTACCAAGTGGGAGGGTGCAGGGAAGTGGTGTGAAAGCTGAGACATGAAAAAGAGTAGTGAGCCAGGTGAAGAGAAGGACAGAGGTCATTCCAGATAGAAGGGAAAGCATTAGCAAAGTCCCGAGGGAGGGTGTAGCACGGCACATTTGAGTAACCAGCAGGCAATCGTTGATAGCAGGAACTCAGGCTAAGAGAGAAGGAGACACAGAAAGGCAGAAAAGCAAGCTGAGGAAGTCAAGCCTCAGAGACCCGGGGGTCACGGGCTCAACTTGATCCTAAGAACGATGAGAACCTGGGGCTTTTGAGCAGAAGACAAACATGGAGTGATACGCTTTTTAAAAAGATCACTCTGGCTTTGGCAGGCACTACAGGGAAAAAAGGAAGGATGCTCACTGGTTTGGTTTCCCCATCAGGCTGGGAGCTGCTGGGGGCTGAGTTGAGCCCATCTCATTTATACTTTTCCCCCATCTCTGTGCAGGACCATCTCAGCAAGGCCTCAGCTGCAGGTAGATGTGGTTAACCCACCCATGGACATTCCCTCCACAGGTAAGTAAAAGCCCAGCAAGATTTCCCCGGAGTGATGGATTGGGATACTGAGGATCTGAAGAAAAGAAGGGAAAAGAGTATAGATGACATGGGAGCGAGGCAAGACCGATTTCTTCTCTCCCTACCTCAATTACTTTATCTGTGAAATGGGGTATTCGTGGTACTTACCTCAGAGACTTGCTGTGAGGACACTATTCATACACAGTTCTTAGTATCTGGCACAAAGCGAACACTCAGTAAGTGTTAACTTTTGTTCTTGTTCGTCCTGAAGGACACTACTGTCTTCCAGGGTAGGGCTGGTCGGATTCCAGAAAATGCTTGAGAGTCGCTGGGCCAGGAAAGTCTCAGGACTACCAAGAGATCAAAGTTTGACAAAATCTTACATGCGAGTTTGGGCCGAGGTTGTTAGTGTGCTTGTGTTCACGTGATTTAAAAAATCCTAACATAGAACATCCAGGTGAAGAAGAGGAGCCGCCACCGCCGCCCCACGAGTCCCGGGTTGTGCGCTAGGCCCTGGGCGGGGGCCTGAGATTCAGCAGCCCAGCCGGCGGGGGCGGAGCCTGACGGGCTGGGGGCGGGTCGGCGCAGGGGAGGGGCGGGGCTGGCGCCGCAGCCCTCGGCCCCGCCCCCAGCGGAAGTGCCGCCGGGCCCGCCCCTCCCTCCAGAGGCCGGTTCCCCTAGCGGGTCACTGGGCCCGCTCTCCCCCGTGCAATTCGGCTCCTAGAGGGAGTTCGGCCAGAGTCCCAACGCCAGGTCCGAAGAAGAGGACCCGGGTCTGCGTATCTGGCTGTCTCGGGCAGTGCTCTCTGTCCCTCCCAGTCCCCCGTCCTCCTTTCCATTCCTCTGTTACCAGCGCGGCCGCAGGCGCCGCGGGGAACCGCACAGGTAAAGACTCGGCTACTGAGGACGCAGGTGTGGGTGCCTCCCTGAATGCACGGGCCAGGGAGAGGCTGATGGCACGTGCCCAGCTTTTTTCCAAAGCGATTGTATTGACAATGGGGCTCCGGGTGGGCAGACGCGGACCCCAGGAGCGCTACATCGCACTGGGGAAGCAGAGGGGGCGGGACTGAAGCCCCCAGACCTTGAGAGCCGGCTCGTTTGTGTCCCCGCGTCTTGCGCAGGCTCTGTTGTGCCTGGAAGGAGGTGAGCTGGTTGGGTCAGGGCTGCAGCTCCGGAGGGTTATCCCCCCACCCACTCCCTGCGGCGCCTGGGGTCTGACAGTCGCTCCTCCCGGGCGCACACAATGTGAGGTTTGCAGAATGAAAATCAATAAAATCAATGCAAATGCAAAGAACACGAAACGTGTTTGGTTGTTACTATTTGCGTTTGTTAAATTCTTTTATTAATTTTTTAAAATTTTCTTCGTGGAAAAAGTGTCTTTGGCTCGGATCCGGGCCTCGGAAAGGGAAGCAAAATGCCCCGGGTCTCCCCGCAGGGGGGCGGGGGGCCTGTCCTCCGTCCCGGGCCGCGCAAACTTCCCGTAGAGGCAGTGCTGGGTCCAGCTGCGGGAGGGGAACCCCCGGTGCGTTCGGCTTCCGGATACGGCTTCCCGCCCCCGCCCCCGCGCCTCATTGTCCGCACTTTAGGGAGAGCCCCCACCCCTCCATAGCATTTTCCCGGTTCACCACCCCCACGCCAAGGGGGCCGTGCCTCCTCCCCTCCCCCCCCCCAGCTCTCCCCGGCGCTTTAAATAATGATATTTGCATGCAGGGAGCGATTCATAAATATGTCAGGGCCGGTGAAATATAGGCAACATTTCAAACTTTCTATTTAAAAAACATGAATTATGGCCGCGGAAAATGTGTTCCCATTTAAAGGCGATACGAAGTATTTGGTGTCTCGTCCCCGGGCCCATCCATCACGCAGACAATAAAGAGAGTTTTTCGCCCTGACACCCGCGATTTATGGGCGCCCTTCTCTGCCCTCATCACTCACCCGCCGCGGCCGGCCCGGCGACAGGCCCAGCGGAGAGAACTGCAGCCGCCCCCCACCCCCGCGCCGGCCCGCGCGCGCACTTTGCGCCCTCGCCAGCACCCCAAGACCTCCCCTCCCAGGGGGAAGAGCCTGCTCCAGGGAGTTGGGAAATCGGCAGTGAAGGTCTAGGCAGACGACCGAGAGCTGAATCCAAACTCGTCCTCTCCCCTCAGTGCAAGCCTCTTTTAGGGGCTGGGGCTGAGCGGGCAGAGGAGCGGCCTTGCGGGCTAGCTCAGCGTCCCGGCCTCGCCCGCCAACCGCGGCGCGGCGCTTTAAGTTTCCAGCGCAGGCTGCGGGAGGTTATTTACGTGCGGGTACGAGGTGAGGGGAGAGGACTGGGCTGGGGGCTTCCCAAGACGATCTCTGGGCATTCCGCCCCGGGGAAGGTGAGCTGCTTTCAAGCTTCCTTGAGCCTTACTGGGCGGATGCTTCGGGGCAAAGCTGTTTCTGCAACTTTTACAAAGCTTCCTTCTCCCTGGTGCGATCCCCACAAACACATCCTGGGCGTCTGCGACACCTTGGAAACTATTCTTACGGACCGAGGCGAGGAGTTGGCGAGAAATAGGAAGGGGAGGTGCCTTCCCTAGCCGTTCGCCTCGGGCCAGGCTCGGCTGCCCCAAGCCTTCTTAGCCCATCGCCCACACCTTGCGCGCGCACATACCAGCGCGCGGTCCTCCCTAAGTGACCACCGAATCATAGTGGCAAACTTGCGTCGAAGAAAGTTCGGGCATCATTTGCCGAGGAATTTGCTTTCAGTTTTCGCCGCGGGCGGACTCGGCCCGGCGAGGGCCGAAGCACTACCAGGGGTGGGGGCTGCCTGGCACTGCCGGAAAGTGAGGGGCAGCTCCCGGGCTGAGCGCGTTGATAGTCCAGCGCGGCCGCGTGATCACCAGGAGCCACCCCGAGTCCCATGCTGGGCCGATGCATCTGCGTACACTCGAACCGGGAGCCGTTTCCTGCCGGATGCCTGAGAGCTGAATTTATTCGGATGCAGGCAGCGCAAACCGCAGAGAAATCCCGTCGATTCTAAAAATGACAAGATTGAATTTATTAGATCAAGATTCACGTGTAAGTGCAGGGAGATGAATATTATACAAACAGCACCAGGTCCAGTGTGAACGGAAGATCGCTTCCGGTTTCAAGGCATGTAACCTAACATTTGAATATTTAGACCTATAGAGGGATATAAAATATTAAATTCTTGGTGTGTACACACACAGTCAAGTTGAAAAAATTCTAGAGCAAGTGTTTTTTTACAGCTCCTGCTTGAGTGTAATTTGGACTCAAGATAGCCTTATGTCCAAATAACCACCCAGTGAATGTTTCCTATAGCCAGTGAGTTTCGCTACGTTGAGGGGTGCAGTATGTGTACCTCTTTAAATATCTGCGTCGTGGCAAAGGTGAAATAAATACATTTAGGAAGAGCGGGCACATAGTTGAATAACTGCATCGCTACAATATTTCCGGATATGGAAATAATTATTACTCCAGGTTGGCTGTGGAAGGTGTGCACAACTTAGGGGGGGGGGGCTTTCAGGAACCCGAGGTGGGAGCCACAGGTCCTGAAATGCTGGGCACCTAGCACGCTGAGGTGGGCCCCATGCGATACCCTCAACCTCCGACCCACCCTGGCGTGATTGCTGGAAGAGGCTCCGCCCGAACGGCCAACATTGTCTTGCCTCGGGGGTTCTCCCGGATACACGCCGGGAGACAGAGACATCACCAGGCGCTGAACCTGGCATTTAAGATAGGAGGACCTGGGGTCCAGCCGGCAGACATTTCCCCCTTAGCCACTTCAACGACCCCTTAATCCTGGCTCCACCGTGCTTAGGCAGTGACCATTTGGGCCTATCGATTTGGAGCAAGAGTGCGTAAAAGGGCGGGTCGCGCTTGGTTCCGAGTCGTCCCAAAGCTCGAAGCTGGAGGACACCGGAGAAGGCCACGATTTCGCGTCCGTGCGGAATCCGGGCCCCACCCGGCCTGGAGAGAACCAGTTTGAAGCCTAGAAGTGATTGTCTGGCTGCATTTACTTATTAAGTGTTAGGGATCCCCTCACAAACTCAGTGCTGAGGCCCAGACGCCCCGAGGGTCTCCTCCGTATATTTGCAAAGCCCAGGAACGCCAGGAGCGAGGTCGGCGACGTCGCAGCTGTGAAATTCCAAGGCCAAATACTAATTCCAGAATTGGGCGCTTGCAACCGTCCAACCATCACACTACCCTAGTCTTTTTTTCTCACCCCTTCAAACGCACCCAACCCTGGCACAGGAGCAGAGCTGAGAGCCCCTGCTTGGGGAGAAATTAGGCAGGACTCTGCCAGGAGTTCCTGGGAATTGCACACACTCCTGAGGCAGCCCTGCCGCAGAGAAATAACCCGGGCGCTGAGAATGCCCTGCTTTAGAGAGTGTGACTGCGCCGAAGTGGTATACACGGTATACCGAGAGGAGGGAGAGAGGATAAGAAATATTCCCTGTCAAGTAGGAAAAGGAGGAAAGGAAGAAGGGAGAAAAGAATGAAAAGGTAGGGAGTCTAGAAAGAAGCGTGTGAGGAAACAAAAAAAGAGAAGAATAGAGGAGAAAAAGCCAGGACAGGCGAGCCGAAAAGAGTACAGGCCTTGGCCAGGCCCCGGGACCAGGCCAGACCATGGCTCCCGCAGGCCCGGTGCCACCGCAGGCCCGAGAAGAGATGAGGGCCTCGCGAGACGGTCCCCCACCAACCCTGCGAATATGGGCCCCGCTTCCAGTCCTGAGGGACGGGCCGGGGTCCAGCGGCCTCCGCCCGCTCCATCTTTTCCCCCCTCCTGGGGACCACAAGGCGGGGCAGGACAAGGGTGGGGAGGCCCCCAGGGGCGCGCGCCAGCCCCGGACTGTTTGGGCGCTCTGGGCCAGGCTTTCCAGCTCGCCGGGCCTGACCTGTCAGGCGGATTATCTTCGAGGGAGATTAATAGGGGAGGCGGGCTGCAATAATAATCGTTTTGTTTGATGTGACAACTCTGATAGGCGTTGATTTACTTACAAACTGATAGGCTTTTAATTGAGCGCCTCCGCCGAGCCCGAGATGAAAGGGAAGCGGCGGTGAAAGGCGGCCCGCCTGCCCTCCGGCCTCAATACTGATTAGCCATCTCGACAGTGAATAGTTCAAGGCATTTTCAAACTTTTTTTCCTCAGCTCTCTCGCCTTCCTTCTCCTCCCACCCCCTCCTCAAATATCTGCCATGCCCATTCCTTTTTTAGAGAAAACAAATCATTTACACTGTGTGCAAATAAAATCCACAGGACATCCACGCCAACCGCCGCTGGGGTTGGAGGCTTTAGGCCTAGCGCGGTGTAATTAATAACTCCCCCACCCCCAAGGCCTGCAAGACCTTCGGGGATTTGGCTTCCCGGGCGAGATGCGCAGGCTCTGATGCTGGCGCCTCCCGAAAGCCCCGGGCGCGCAGGCCCCCAGGCGCCCCCGTGCGCTCGGACCTTCAGAGTTGGGTTTGCGAAGAGCGAACGCACGCGGACCACGACCCG